CGTATGTCCCTTGGTCATGTGAAGCCCAACAGCCGTCACCGCTCTCTCAAAGATGGCTCTCACCTTGTCTATCCCACCTGGTGAGCCCATGCCACCAATGGAATATTGAGCATATTCAAGCCAGATATCTGGACCTGGGGATAAAAAAGAGTGTTCATGAAGGTTAAGATTGTGTTATTGTCTGAATGTCAGATCAAAGGAAGTAACAATGCTGCAATGCACTCACAGATATAGTCTTTTATGGCTCTCTCGAAAAGTTCATACACCATTTCCCGGTTGGACTCCTCCTCAGTCAGACGGATCTCATCCTTGAGCCAATCCAGCCAGATCTCTGCAGGATTTAACAAAATGAGATTTCAGTTGTGTAAATAATGCAGGGCTGCTGTCAACTGATTTCTTCTGGTCCCCCAAAGCATTTTAGACAAACACCAACCTTCAGTGAGAGGGAAAAGTTCACTCATCTTCTGCCTTGCCTTTCGCAGTCGGATTAGTTCTCCCTCCTGCCTCAGCAGTTTGATGAGATCCACATGGCAGTTGTAGTCAAAAGCGTTGATTGACAGCTGAAAAGACACAAAGATGGTGGAGGGGGGTGACGCATAACAATAACTGTATCCTCCCTATTAACCCATAGACTGATGGATTTACTTAGTGATTTATTACCCCTGCCAGAAAAAATATTCAACTGACACTATAATTCAATCTAGGGGCTATTTTCATAACTGAGGAGACTTTATTCCTCAACCATATAGGCAGCAATGACCTCACAGACATTGATCACAACAGTTTGATTTTATAATTACAGCAAGAAATCTAACTAAGATACAAGCAACATGAAATATGACACAAAATCTAGACATATCACTCACCCTGGGTACCACAGAGGTATACACACTGCAGGTTCAGTGGGTGGGCAGAGCTAGACCTAATCATATTCAATACAACAACCAGGGTATTAACTGTACTGATGCTGACATGTGATTGATTTATGTTCATAATATATTAAGCATTGAGGTGACTCTTCAAGTAAAGTGACAAACAACACCTAGTTCCTACTTCTTAATTTAAAGGTGTTGTCAAATCAACATTTTGGAGTATTTTAAAAAAATAGATTCAGAGAAAATAATTTTATTAGACATTACTTTGGGCTTTAAGAAAGTTTTACAGGTGCTTTCTGACACACTCTCAACAATGAGAGTAAGATAGTGAAATCTAATGATAAAAAATCACTTTCACGTGTTCCTTATTGTTGAGACTGTTTCATCATGGTCACTTTGGAGGCTGTAGTTTCTGATGCAGTGTTACTGTTTGCAAAACACAGATCCTCCAAAACATGAATGAAGTTTAGGTCCGACCTCTCTGGAAGTTTCAACAATACTGACTAAATCATTAGAAGATCTGTAGCAGTATTAGCATTAGTAGTTTAAGCTATGTGTACCTAATAAAGTGGAAGCTGCAGTAACTATAGACTAGCTTTAATTTGGTTGTTGTAGAAGCACAGACTATATAATATATATATATATATATAATGAGAAGGTAGTAGTCTACACATTTAACACAACAGACTGAAAGGACATGTGTCTTCAGACAGCACGTTAGCATCACATGCTAATCACGACTGCTAAATGAATGGCGTCGTATCATACGCGCTCATGTAATTGTTCAGGATGAAAGCAGCTAACACGAATAAATGACTCAGTCTGACACACAGAGCAGCTCAGCGTGTTAACGCTGCTGCTTCCCGCCCCTTCGGTCCGTTAGCACGGGAGAGGAGTTAGCACGGCTCGGTTGTTGGCTAATCACCTGCTCCTCCAGACGCTGGATCTCGGCTTCATTCTCCTTCTCGTCCTCGGAGGAGTCGTCCTCATCGTCGTCTGAATCGTCTTCTCCCATACCCTCCTCCTCCTGCTCATCGTCGTCCTCCTCTTCGTCTGACTCCATCTCCCTCTGCTCCATCCCCGCAACTTCTTCCTCCTCCATGTCCTGCAACTGCGTTTGCTCTGCGTTGCTCGGCGCTGCCATGTTGGAAAAGAGTCAGTCTGCCTGGTAACAGGCGGAGCGGAGCGGAGAGAGGTGGAGCCCGAGCCCGCCACGGAAATCCACGAGTCCCGCCAGCGGCAACTTTATATCTGATCGATGATTTATTTCATACACACAGATTCTGAACATTTATAAAAACTTCACGTGGACTAAATGAACAGAAAACCATTTCACCACTTCTATGTTTACACCGGAGATCAGAGAGAAACAGCATTTCACTTCCATCCATGTCTGTACATTTCGCAGAATTGACAATAAAGTTGATTTGAATCAACAAGATATTAAATTGTTAATAAAGAAAAACAGCAGATTTCTATTTTTCTCAAGTGAATACAATATCCCTCTCTATTCTTGTAAAAAATGAAATATGGATCACACTGTAAATAAGTAAATAATCAATGTAGCTATGCTTTATCTAACACAGTAACAGTAAAAAGCTCTAATAACATAGAATTCTTCACTCAGCATTTTCCCTTCTCTGTCGAATCAGAGGGGAATGTCAGCATATTGGTTTCCGTTCATGTGGGTAACACTAAACATGGATTTAAAGACTAAAAGGCCGTTTTCAATCTGCACTCATCTGTACTTCTGTGCTTGAGGACTTGAATGTCGTCATCAGTCTCAACCCAAGTACACTTAAATGCCTGGATGTGGGCTTGCTCCGCCCACTCGGGTGGTGACTTGTGAGGACTTGAAAACACCAAAGTTAGTGCTTCAGTATAATCAATCAATAATCAAGAGGAGAGAGGCCAGAGGAGGAAAGAGGAAGAGAGAGGGATATTTTATTTTTCTTTACTCAAGTCTGTGGAAAGGTTTAAAGAAGAGATTATGGCCAGATTACAAAGAGGCCATTGTGGCCTAACCAGTTGATGGCAAACAGGAAGATGGTTTCTGTTGCTGTGGAAGTCCAGCAGTTTGTTGCCATGCAAAAAGTCCAGAGTTGAAACTATTTAAAGATCTGTCTGATGAGTTTCCTCGTTAAGGGGCTGCTGGGTTTGATAATGATCTGCTGTGCTCAGATTTCCACATCATATTGGAATACAGTCTAGAATATGAATTGAAGTGACGCATTGTAAACGGCAGTCGGCAGCATTGTGCTGTGTAGCGTATCGCCTGCCGGAATTTCATCAGACGAAGAAGAAGAACTAAACATGGCGGCCACCTCACTACGTAACTCAGCGACCTCCCTGTTGTTGTTCAGCCGCAGGTTGTTGGTTCCGTCGCTGAATCCCGTTTGTTCTTATCACAAAAAGGTAAAAGACTGGAAATGACCTGTTGTAAGTTGTGACTGTAACCAACCCGCTGACAGTTCGCTGGTGTTGCATGTATCGTCTGGTGCTGCTTACGTGACCAGCGGCCACTTATTGATTTTTGAACTGGTTTCCTCAAACAGCAGCAGTGTCACGTTGTTTTGTGTGTTTCTCCTGAAGGTGGTGGACCACTATGAAAACCCTAGGAACGTGGGCTCTCTGGACAAAAACTCAAAGAGCGTTGGGACCGGGTTGGTGGGTGCACCAGCCTGCGGTGATGTAATGAAACTTCAGGTAAAGAAGGTGGAGGTCGTGACCCAGCTCCTGCCTCCATGACTTGAATCTTCTGTGTACAATACAATGTGACTGTCAACCAGTATGACAACTACACACTGATCATCCATTTTACCATTTTACTATTTACACATGTGATCTCTCTAAATGTCTGCTGTGAAAAGGACCCATTGATAAGTGTCTGATTCCGTGTTGTGTGCAGATCCAGGTGGATGAAAATGGCAAAATAGTGGACGCAAAATTCAAGACATTTGGCTGCGGATCAGCAATTGCCTCCAGTTCTATTGCAACAGAATGGGTGAAGGGGAAGTCGGTAAGTTGGAGCAACACAGAGTAAACTAGACTGGCACTCTACCACTGCCCAGGCCCAGCAGTCCCCTTAAATTCAAGCTGCACCAAACAGGACACACACATAGATACCAGTCTTGTAAATAGTCCTTTTTTCACACAGATCCATTCATTATTCCCTGCCCCCTTAATCAAATCCAGTTCAAATGTTAATGGGGTCTTTCTTTGTTCATTTCCCACTCTTCCACCAAGTTTCAAGAAAATCAGTCTGATAGTTTTTTTTTTTGTAGACCTTTTATCGCCAGATAAATGTATATTGGGCTTTGGTTAGTTTGTTGATTGTTCATTCTCCTCTCACCCTGCAGATCGATGACGCTCTGAAGATAAAGAACATTGACATTGCCAAAGAACTCTGCCTTCCTCCGGTCAAGCTCCATTGCTCTAGTAAGTTCAAGGCATAAATTTCGCCATACAATTAATTACATGGTAGCTATTCCTTAAATGTTTCTAATATCTTCTCCTCCTTTTCCTTTCAGTGCTCGCAGAAGATGCAATAAAAGCTGCGCTGTCTGACTACAGACTCAAACAAGAGGACAAGGAGGAGACTCGTGTCAAGGCCAGCAATTAAAGTGCAGTTATTAACTGTCCAGTATGGCGGTATCCCATCAAGGTTTCAGCAGCAGCCGGTGTCTTGCAGCAATGTAATGCTGTGTGGAAGATGAGTTGCTAATATACTTCGTCAGGTCTTGCCCCCCATCTGGGATTTCTGGGAGTTTTAAAGCCTCTAAAATCTTCACGGCTGTGGGATTGTTAGTCTCTGTAACTCAAGTCTGGATGTTCAAGTTCCAGGTGTTAACGGTGTTTATTGGATTAATTTCATCATATAATCAGAACTTGTAATATTGGTGAATACTGTGAACTACTTGGCTGTGTTTTTCTACACAATAAGACAGGAGATGCATCAGAAACTGAAGGTCAGGGCCTTTTTCCCTTTGTATTTTTTGGCATTTAATCTTTATTTTGGCTTGACTGCATAAAACCTCTGCTCCCTCGTGGATGGTTCAAGTCAAGAACTGAAGTACACTTACAAAACCATGATACAGAATATTGTGTGAGACTGTTCTTAATGTGAATTAAATAAATAATAAAACATTTCCAGTGAGTCCGAGCTGATTTCATCCAGCAGATCCTGCATCCAGCGGGGCCACCCTCATTTGGCGCCGAAGCACCAGTCTCAGCACAAGTAGCACTGCCAGCACTAGGAGAGTCACTAACACACACAGCACAGTGAGCAGAGAGATGACCGCTGCAGAGTTCTGTTGTGTGAACTGTCGAGGGGCTGCAGTGAGCCAGGGTGCGTCTCTGTCTGTAGAGAGTAACGACTGAGTCTCTCCAGCAGAGGTCGTGCTGCTCTGAGGGTATCGACCTGAGCTGTTGTCTCGATGCTTCTGCTCCTCATCAGGGCGATAAGTAACAGTCTTTAAGTGTGATGGGCTCACAGACTGAGTTCTATTGAGGAATAAACACTCCTCATAGGTGAGCGTCTGTAAAGTGAAGTGTTCAAGTAACGCACGAGTCTCTGGAACATCTTTGGAAAAGACAGCATCAGTGGATAACTTTAAAATTGGCATGTCCCCCAAATCCTCCATGTTGTCAAACGAGCTTCGTTCTGTTGGCTTCGCTGTCGCCAGCTTTCTCCCCAGTGCAGAGTTGAGGTCTGATCGTGGCGTCCTCTCATTTGGCGTCAGGACACGAGGACAGATCGCGGTGAGCGAGAGGTTCAGGAGCGGGCGGTGAGCGAGATGGACGGGCTCGGTGCACACCAGGTCTGTCGCCACCTTCAGCCTCGCGCTCAGCAGCCAGCGGTAGAGATACAAGATGTCACACTCGCACACCCACAGGTTGTCGGTGAGGTCCACAGACCGGAGACGTGGCAGCCCGTCGAAGGCTCTGTCTGGGACCGAGCGCAGACAGTTGCTGTTGATCTTCAGGACCTGCAGGTTCACCAGGGGGGACAGCGAGGGCAGGTCCAGGGTCGAGATGCAGTTAGCTGAGAGGTCCAAGTGTGTGAGTGACGGGGGGAGGTTCCTGGGGAGGCCGGTGAGGTTGTTCCCCTTCAGTGTCAGGACCTGCAGCCTGATGAGACCCTGGAGAGCCCCGGGCTGGATGGCTCGGATGTGGTTGTCCTCCAGGTCCAGATGAGTCAGGTTCACCAGCTGCCTCAGGGCTCCCGTCGTGATGTACGTGATGCGGTTCTCTTGCAGCAGCAGGGACTCCAGGCTGGGGGGCAGGCCCCGAGGGAAGCGGGCCAGCAGGTTGTGACTGAGACTGAGCTCCTGGAGGCTGGAGAAGGGCCGGAGCAGGTGGTCCACGTTACACAGCTGGTTCCTGGCCACGGACAGAGCCGAGGTGCTGAGAGGGACGGAGCGAGGAAGTGACCTGAGATTCAGGGACTCGCACAGAACCAGAAATCCCGGGCGAGGACAGCAGCAGCCCGGCGGACAGGGGGACATCGTGAGGCACGTTAGTGGACAGATGCAGAGAGCCAGTAGGACTCCACATCTGCACCAAAGCATGACATCACTGCACAGAGTAATGGAGGAGAGACGAGCACGTTAGACAACTGACCAATAATGTGATATCTTATGTACTTTTACTAAAATGGGGCTACTAGTTACATCTCCATACTGTAACTTCATACTGTTATACCTATACAGAGAGGTGCAGGGCATCTGGACCAAAATACATGTATTAGCAACTTAATAAAATGTATAACTACAGACTTGATTGATTATTTATTGTTTTATTGACATTTTTATTACAAATGACTCACTAGCTATTACTGCTAACGGTGACATGAAACCTGTGATTAGTTTAACTTGTTTTTTAGCTGCAGAGCCGGATTGTTGCGTTTTATTAATCATTTTACAAAAAGTTAATATTTAATATTCTGTTACTAGAAGGTGATTATTGGTGATCAGGTGTCATCCTGATAGACATGCTGACTCTGGATGTATCAACATGTATATAAAGCCATTATTAATGTTTAAGTGGTACAAAAAGAGAAAATAATTAAAGGCCTGAGCACTTACCATTCCTCTATTCCTGTATTATCTGCTCCTCCGAGGAGATGGACAGGCATGATTCCACATGGTCCTTACGGGATCCTCCGTGTCTAAAGATAACCACTGCCACTGTCGAGAATTTCAGGCAGATGCTCATCAAAGTTTAACGACAGCCTTAAGGTGCAGTGTTACCTATTCTGGATCCTCTTCACCATTCACATCGATGGAGAGGCCCAGTTGGACACAGCGAAGAGGGTGAAAACCCACACAGCAAGAAGTTCAACAGAAGAGATTGTGAAGGAAAAATAAAAAATGGAAACGACGGGGGTGACCCAGATAATCCTTTATCAGCGGTTCCCAAAAGTTGAGGTTCCCTAAAACCCAGAGAGACTGCCTCTGGCGCCCCATGACAGAGCGTTCTAGTTAGCGGTCCTCTGGTCCGTGTGTCTTCCAGGTGGGAAGAGCGAAAGTGACAGGATAGTATTTTCTCGAATTATTTAGCACCTTGCTGACAAAAGAGCAGGGAATCTGACCCTCGAGCAAGGCTCCGTCAGGGCTCATGTTTCAGGAGCCACAGGGTCACACTTGCTTTTTAAGCTGTTGTTTTTTCATCTTTGATGTTTGATCTTTGGAAATTTGAGCCGCTCCTTCATGAATGGGTTTGTGTTTCAGCCATTGAAGCTCTATTTAATTACATTTTAGTAGATTTGGACTTTTAGACATGGTCTGAATGTGGCCATGTGAAGATGGAAGGTGTAGATAAAAGAGGAAAAGTGAACATACATAAGTGATGAATCAATGTTCACATGGGGGCAGTATGTCATCGCTTGTTACAAAGATGGAACACAAAGTTAAAGTTTGACTTATTGTTCGAACTTCACTGGAACAAATCAGTGTCTCCAAGATTTGTACAGTCAACACACTTGTTAAGAGCATAGTGCTCTGTATCCATCTGGTGAACTGCTGTTGAAATATTTAAACAACCTTGTACATTAGCCAGTGAAGGACAAAGGGGGCTCTCGTCATCTCCAGATTCTAATAACCTCTGTGGTCACTGTGTTTGGGTGTGAGGTTGTCAGCTGCCTCACCAAGGCCAACCAGGAAACTGTGGAGGAGTCACAGTGGTGTTGTGCACATCCTGGACTTGAAATATTAAGTCAGACTAAAGCTGACGTCTCTAGTGGATCTCTCAAATCTGACATTCTTGAGAGGATGCAGCTCAAAATTACAGATTCCAGAGTTGAACATAATGTGCACGTAGCAAACATCCTCTCTTTTTAGACATTCCTCGTCTTTTCTAATCTTAGGTTTTTTTTTTCAAGGCTGTATTTGAGTTTCATCACAGCTTTTACCATTTTTCAGCTACATTTCCAACCACAATGGCACCCCGCCAAAGCCCAACAGTCCTTTTAAATTAAATCGAGCTGCACCAATAGCACAGAGTCAAAGATATCAGTCCTCAGTTTTTTCTTCCAGATCCATTATTCTCTGGGAATAATGTTGAAAAACACTCAAACACCTCAATCTCTAAATGTTACAGAAAGAAAACAGACGTGCCACTTTATCCAGTTCTGATCTATGGTTCTACCCTGATCCATCCCACAGCCTTCCACCAGGTTTCAAGGTGACAACAGAACCTCCTTGGTGGAGGTAATAAAAACAGAAACACTGTTACCAACACCTTTATTAAACATAAGCAAAACAAAAAAGTCATTTTGTAAACAATGAAACTGTCAATTACAAAAGAAGCATGTCTGGAAACATCTGAGGAAAAAATCAATAAAATCAAAAAATCTAATCTGAGGTTCAGTGGAATAAAATATTAAAACATGACCAAACTCTTAACTGTGGCCCTTAAATCACACAAACTGTGTTTCACAAAATCAAACTCAAAATCATTAACTTCATCACAGGAAATTGAGGAGGAGAGTTTTTCCAAATGATCTTCTCCAGTGCAATCTGAGGTTTTACTCTAATAAAGTCAAATAAGACAAATACACACTTATCTGCTTTTGATTATTTTTGTAGCCACATTAGGTTGAAGTTGTACATGAAAACACACCAACAAAACAGGCCAAGACTTCCAACAAATTCTCACATTAAAAATAAAAAACATAATTTATTTTATACATAAGTATTACTTATTAAAAAAGCTTAAACCCTCATAAAGTCTCTGTACCAAACACGTTTGATTTGATTGTATATGCCAAATGTATCCAGATTTAAATGTTCAACAAAATAAATATGTGGATAGATGGGGAGAAAATGTTTGTATTTTTTCTTTAGTTCAGCAACTGAATTACAAATTGTGTTTTTGGTATAAAGCTTTGAGAAATCGGTTCTTAAAGTAAATACAAAACGATATCACATAAAATAACACTAATAAAGCAAAAATAGGTAAATATGAATGTAAATATAAAGAGAATCATTTCTTACAAGTCAAGTTTACTGGTGTCTCACTTTGCTTTGTTTACAGCACCAAAGATGTGTGTGGAAATGACAGATCGATCAGGCTCTTAGCTGCTGAATAGATGTTGTGTCGTGCAGCAGGATGAGGAGACGCCTCTTCTCAGCAGGCGACTGGAGAAATGAGCCTCACGTGAATACTTTCATTTCTAACATTTCTATTTGGGAACACAAGAAAATTGAATCCGCTCTTTTTATTTTAAAACTAACTTGCTTCCTGACTGTTTTAATCCATAAAATACTTTTAATAAAGTGATGCAACTTCAATAGCACAATGTTGAGAATCGGTGTCTCTGACTGACACTGTAAAGGAAAGTTTTAATGCCCTTAGATGTTTTCATATTTTATATTTGCCACAGTCTGAAAGATATGTTGCTGGATCAACCTCAGCTGAGAATCTGTCACAGCAGCTCTCTTCACTCGAGGCTCACTCTTGCCTGGATTCTTCCACAGACGTATCTTGGTAAAGCAGCAAGAGACTTTCTGGGGAAAATCTTTTTTTCCCTCGAATAAACTTCTCACATAGAAAATCAGTACTCGTGACGGTTGCATCAATTTTGCCACCACAGACACTTATGATGAATAATGGTTGCTCACGTCTCCTTGTTTCAGTTGTTGACCATTTAATCAGAACCTTAGAGATATACAGGTCACATATATTCAGCTGTTTTCTTTTTTAGGTAGTACTTGATATTTCTATAAATATTATTTCTGTTTAGATTTTCTAAAGATGGATGTTTTTCATTCGAGACATTAGCCTCATTTAAATATATTTCTCCATGTAGGAAATGATCAAAACCTTGTTGGCACATTTTGTGTGTGGATTAACCAGCCTGTCTTCATTTTTCACCTTTATGTAATCTTGAGACTGGCTTAGTGATGGGTCTTTTTCATGTGGCAGGTACAGACGGGCGGACTGGAGCTGGTGCTGGGGCTGGAACTCTGCTGCACCTCCTCCCTGTACTTGGACTGCTCTTTGTGCTTGGGCTCCTCTCTCCGCTTTTCCACCTCCTCAGCCTCCTTGACCTTTCTTACCTCCTGGCGAGGTGACGACCTGACGTCTCTCCCTTTCTCTCCCACCAGAGCCTTGGAGGGGGTGCGCAGGTTCTTTGGGGAGGCCATGCTCTGAGTCTGGACCCTCTTGACGTGGTCGACGGCGTAGGGCCTCTCCTGGAGCTCGCCTGAATTCTTGCTGGTAGTTTTATCAGCCATATACTTCCTGGGTGGATTAGCAGGCGGCTTGTAGGCCTCCAGCTTTCGCTTGTGACTCATCGCCGTGGCACAGCAGATGATGAAGACCATGACGATGAGGAGAGACGTCACCACGATGATAATGAGCAGATTCTCCTGCAGGAAGTCCACGACTCGGGTCAGCACAAAGTCCTTGAGGCGGATCATGGTGGTGGTGATGGTGTTGGTGAGGGTGGGAGCTCCAGTGGCGGTGGTGATGTGGAGAGGAGCTCGGGTGGAGAAAGAGGTGGGGAAGAGCAGCTCCAGCTCTGCTTCATCTCCGCTGCCGTCGGACATGTTGTAGAACATGGGAGTGGAGTGACACACGCTGCACCACAGAGACAGCAGGGTCACACAAGTGACGTGAAAAACCAACTGGGACGTCATCTTTTCTTCTTGAGTCCTGCAACAACAACAGACAACTTAATTTAGAGTCAGAAGAGGGAGCGGGTTGAAAACTGAGGACCCACAGAAGCAATGGCTTGATGCAACTTAAAGAAATACAATTTGGGAAAAACACTGTTTTCAGACATGAACTCCAGAGAATATCCTCAATCGAGTCCAGATATTCTTCAAAGTCATTTTCACATTGAAGAACGCAGCACAAGATTCTAGCTCATCTCTAGAAAATCTCTTCCTGTTTCCTCACATGACCTCATTCCAAGTTTTCACTAGGGGGCAGACAGGAGAAGCTGCCTCTAATACCTCTAAATGTCACCAATGTTAAATCCATATACAAAGAGAGAAGTGTATTTCTTGGACAGACTCAGCACAGACTCCAGCTTTACATGTGTATGACAGATACATTTTTAAACCCTTGACAGAGACAAACTATATATTTCCTGCTATAAGCTACGCTGATTTCCTTCATGCTCCACGTTCACACCTTAAAGACAGGTATCAAAATCTTGCCGAGAAAACCAACAAGCGTTTTTTCAAAATCTGAAAAGTGAAGCTCTCACATACTTCAGTTAAAACTATTGTTTGAAGTTAAAAGTTTTTTAGAGGCCTGATATTTCAAAACTAAAATCAATATTAGCGGAGTCAAGGATTGAGCTTTACTTGTGCTGCAGAAATGTTTTACTCATTCATTATTTTTGAATCATCTTGCAGCCCCTCAGATTTTCTTTGTTAACTATTTCCCCACTTGTGTTTGCAGCCTCTCTTGCAGCAGACACATACAAATAACATGACACGTTTCCTTCTGAAACTCCAGTCTCCATCTTGACTCAGGTTTTTCCAGGTTTTCTGCCGTCCTCCGTCTCCATTGCACCAGATCTATTTTAGCAGGCTGCAGAGTAGCCATTACTTATTTGGGGTGGAGACAGTGAGTTTGGTGCTGAAGGCCTTATAATTTGAAAAGAGGAGGGAGGCCACCCAGCCACCACACCAAAGCCAGGAGGAAGCCATAGAGCAGAGGGAGCACAGAGGCGTGGGAGCCCTGCGGCCGTGGCCTCTATATTTACAGTGGGCAGCAGCAGCTGCCGTACACCTCCCACAGCAGCACAGGCCTAATGAAGATATTTCTGCCTCCAGGAGAACCTGCATTTACTCACAGGACGACGGACTGAATAAACTTCCCAACCTAGTATTACATCTCTTCCATGACTCTCTCTCCAGTGTGAAGTCGGGCTTTAACACAGAAAACTGAACCTTTTGTGTGTTGACAATTAAAACCTGTTGAACTCACCACAATGTGTAATTACACAGAGCTGAGCTGCACAGACAAGCTTCTAATCAGCATCACGCTGGAGTGAACCTGCTGCTGTACAGAAACCCCCTCCCCTCTCTGTGTGGTCAGACCTGCTCTCTGCTGGAGCAGATGGTAAAGGCTGGGTCTTCATCCTGGATGTACAGCACTGCCCCTTCAATCCCCATAATTACAGACATAAATACATTTCCTGTATGTTACCGGAGGTCAACATTATAGCTTCGGCTGAAGGACATCCAGACTTAATTTATAAAAAAAAGATATGGGTTTTGTCACACTGAGGTGTTTAGGGCCAAACTGTATGATAAAGTCAAAATTTACAGAACTAAATATTCAAACACACTTTAGCTGCTTCTTGTCCTGGATGTCCTGTTCATCATGTAAAACAAACTTAGCACAAATCAAGTCTGACATATGTGGAAGTTTGTAAAATTTGGCATCTCAACTAAAGATACAAACTAAAGTAAGTAAGTTTTAACAGTGCTGGACCAGACAACACATATTTACAAAGGTGAAACCAAAGGCAGAGATTTCACCCTCATTACACGTTTTCTTACATAAAACTTAATCCCTTTCAACACTTGAAACTACAGGTCAAAAACACTGAAGATCAATGTGGAGGATAAATAATAATAATTTGGATTTAGAAGGAAATCTAATGTTGTCAGGGGAGAAATAAGCATTCACATATTGTGCTTGATGTAATACCATTATTTAAAAATACTTAATTTCAAATACAGATTCAACATTAAATATTCCTTAGGCCATTACTACCTGTCTTCACCACCGTCTCTAATACATATAAATAAAAATCCAACTCAAATAAAAGTAGACGTATCATCAGCAAACCACACTAAAGTATCAAGATATAAAATATTTATTATTCAGAAAAAAGCCCCCTATGAGTGTTGTACATTGTCATATGCCACATTATTTCATTATTGCAGTTGTAGAGGTGAAGTAGGAGTGCATCATATTTTGTAAAATATTGAAAAATAAATTTCCAGTAAGTGAAGAAAATATAAGTAACTGTAGAAATATTCAAGCAAAGTAAACAAGTTGCTGAAAGTTGGTTCCACTACAGGGTCTCAACAAGAAAAAGGCAAAAAAAAAAAGTTACTGATCCTGAATTTAAAACTTTGTTTGTCTGAATTCAGCTAATTCTATAATATAACTAGAAACAACTTTCTTTTTATTCCTTCTGTCTTCTTGTTGCTAGCATCCACTTTACATATTCATGAATAAAGAAATCTATACTTACAGGCTGTGTTATCCCGGGTTTTTTCTTCTGGACGCTCTGAGCGGTGCAGACAACAGAGAGGCGAAAAAGCGGGGAGACGGAGTCAGAAGAGGAAAGTAAGAGTGCAAGAGAGTTTCTGAGCATCCGCCCTCCCCCGTTACACTGACTGTATATTTTTTTTACTCGGCTCTAAAAAGTCTCCTCCTCGCAAATTGATGTTCAGTTCCTCTATTTTCAGCCTCTCCTCCCTCCCTCTGAACCTCCCTCCTCACTCTCCATCCTCCTGCACTTATGGAGCAGCCATCTGGGACTGGACATTTTCACAAGTATATGATTTTTGTGAATAATTATGAAGGAAATATTCATGTGAAAGTGACTCTGGGCACCAGGACATTTTATAGAACAGACATTTTTTTTCCAGATGTTTTTTTTTTATTATTGTAAATAAAAGCATGATTTTAAAGAATATGTCGACTCATTCGGTTTGAGTCATTCAACTGACACAGCTGAATCTTTCTGCTGTGAAACTACCACAGTGAGAACGACCTGCAGAGACGCTGCAGTTGGTACAACAGGGCCGTGTTTTAGAGAAATGGGTATTTCTGTACTCGGTGGGGCGAGTCCCAGGACTTCTCTTCCCCACTGAGTCCTCTCTAATTAAGTCCATGTTGATTACAGCCTGTCTCTACATGGCACACAAGAGCAGCGCAGAGAGCGAGAGCACGCCTTTCATCCAAAAACACATGTACAAGGCAAACACATAAGCTCCATGGTCTTTTAGGAGCACTTGTCCCTGGGGACGTCTCCGAACATGCAGGGGATCTATTTAAAACTGCTCCTTCCTTGTTTTATTCACTTATTGTGACAGATGATGCTGCTCAGCTGTGGAGGAGTTGACAAGTTACAAGACATGTAAATGTTTTCAAATATTTGGAAAACCTTTTTGGTTAATATTCTTGTTCAGAGCTTCATCAGTTTGTCTCCAGGGGATTCTCCACACCACTGTTATTTCTGTTTCACTTATTGTTGTATCTGCCATTACAGCATCAAACAGCTCTGTGATTTACAACATTTGTTTCTAATTGTTGCTTCATCTTGTCATCGAGCATCACAACCTACCGAGCTACGTGCTGAAATAGTGAGTACGATTATTTTTGGTGGCTCAGGCACACACGGAATAAATCAACAAAGGCAAAACAAAACCGTTCAAAGTTTCATCTCTGTCTGCTCACATTTATACTGCAGGTTATTACACCACGTATTGATGCAAATACATTTATTATCTGTTTTTATCCAGTTTTGTTGTTTCACTGCAAAAGATTCAAGCAAATCCACAAGTGGAGAGCTGACTGAACAGAACATGTTATTTGTTTTGCTCTTTTGTATAAAGTTTGTTCAAAAGAAAAATACAGGATAAATCTAGTCTTATCATTGATAGAGATTTCAGTTGAGAAAAAACTAATCACAGTAAAAAAATTTAAAAGACCGTGTGAATTAAAAACTCAACAATGAGCCCACTTTAAAAAGTCTTTATTTTTTCTTATAATCAATGTTTGATACTTGAAGCAAGAATAATGAACAAAAATGCTGAGCGAACCTCGTCATGAGGCGTCATCTGGGTTCGTGTTTGTCTGATTTTCTTTCTTGATATTCATACGACCTCCAGTATAACAGAGGCTCTGTTGTCACATGATGCGTTATGGCAAGGTGCAGGGAACACAGACAAGGGGAAACATTTATAACCCACCTCCCTCACAAATACCCTCTTCAGCACAACCACAAAACAAAAACCAAATAGAAAAAAAAAATACAGAAAATATGGTCATGTTATTTACACAGCTTCCACTCATTTTCCTAGACCTTAATTACAAACATACATCTATCTTTCAACTGCACATTTCTCCAACCTACAGAGTCCCTTTGGGTCACTATCCACTACTACTCCTCAAAACTCTCGTGCCGACAGTGCTGTGACGAATCTATAGAGTGGCAGTCTGATATTCAAGATGGGTGGGGCAGTAAAATCTGTGTCAGATCCACGTTCCTATAGATTTCCTGTCACTACTATTTAAGGACTCGCTGCTCATGTTACATTTAGAAGCCACGATGACTGAAAAAGATGCGTGATCAGCCGACGGCTTCTCGGTTTGACATCATTCTAAGATGTTTTAAATACCTGGACCGAGGTGGACAGTTTCAAAAAACGTCAGGGGCGCAACGCTTCTAACAAACCCCCGACTTGTAACGCCACCTGGTGTATTGTGGGATGATGTCAACTATGTGGCTGAGATACAGTACTTAAATGAGCAGGAGCCTTATTGCACCTCGAAGTGATTTAAAAAGTGGGCACCTATCAACTCCTCCATTTGCTAAACAAACCTAATCACACAACAGTCCCCTACAAACACTTCCATGGTCACCTTTATGGCACTTTCAGGTCTTTACAGTGGTAACAATTATTAAAGGCAAACAACAGACTGAACCTTTACCCGTCTCTGCTTCCCACTGGGAAGCAAATCTACAACATCAGGAAAATAGAGCTTTTATCTCAGCAAAACAGCTCAGATTGAACAATTCCAACGGTTCATTGTTTTGGTAATAACTACACTCGATGGGGGCATCTGAGAAACAACCATTAAAAAAATAAACAGGGAGTGGAAGTGCTAAGAGGGATATAAGCACAGTGGAACAAGAAACAGGATAAAAATTAACAGTGGACTATTCAGTTCATCCAGGTTAGAGGCAAGTGTTGATCTACTGTGAATCCATTTTTATAACACCACCCCCACTGAGACGAAACAATGCAGGAACATCCAGAGTGACAGGAACCAAAATGGCCGAAGACACGAGGCACATTTTCACACACAATCTTGGCCTAAAGGTCGATCGTGAACAGTTTCTGTAACTATCTCCAGTCTTATCACCAGATGGTTTTAAGTAGTCAGGTCAATGCGGGATTACTTGGCGTCATTTCACATCAATCCCTGTTGTGTTTTTAAAACACAGATCTGAGATGGTGTTTAATGCAACAGTGACAAGAAATAATCCCACTACACTTGACTACATGTGTGTTGAGCTAACCCGTGACTGGAGGTTGGCTACTGAACTCTGAGAAAAACACAAAGCTGAGCTGACAGAAGCTTTTCTGCAGAGAGGTTGAAATGCACAGAGCTGGTTTGTCTGTGGGCAGCACATAAAATACCACAATGACCAACCAACCAGTGCAACCGAGTCACTACAGTAGAGTGTTTACTGGAGGAGGAATGTTATAGAAGGATCCTTCCCAACACCAACAAGGGCCAATCAATCAGATTTGTGGAATGTATTGGTCTTTTTCTCCAAGAAGCACACAGTGGATGTTAATGAAGCGAGACAGAGAGGAATGCATGTTTACATGGACTATTGTGTCCACAGTCAGACTGATGAAAAGCAACAGGAATGAAAAAGAAACAACAGAAGGCAGGTATTGATTTGTGCAGCTCCAACACAGACAGCAATGATGATTTATCTATAGAGCTTGATGGTGACTGTGGCAGAAAAATGTGTTCAATCCGAATCTATTTGCAACGTCAATCTTCTTTTCCGAACAATTCTAATTTCAGATTAAATGAGGAATTTCTTCTCTTTGTGTGATCAGTCTACTGCACTGAGTTTCCCTGTTTGCATTTTGAATATTCCCACAAGAAAGAGAAAGAAATACTGTTAAGGAGGTGTAAACAAAATTTGGCAACATTATACTGTATTTCGGGGTATGGCAACACAAAACACTGATGCCTACTTCAAAAAAATATTGGGGTATACAATTGCCAACAGGAACTGCTGACTTTGGAATTTTCCTGGTCATTACTCTAAAATGAAAAGAAGTGTAAGACTTATACAAGAAAAAAACTGATAAAAAAAAATGTCTGCCACAGAATAAAAGGAGTCCTTTGTCATCAAAAAGCAAAAAGTATTTTCTGTTAAATTTGCCACACCTCCTTCTTATTCCACCTGTGTTAAACTGAGGGTTGGGGGCTGGCTAAGAAAAGTTCATCTGGAATGTTGCTAGGAATCGTTGCTGGGCAGGACTCAGACGAACACTGTCACTGAGATCGGCAGTGACCAGTCCTGCCCACCACCCAGCCAATGGAACGTCCTGAATTGTAGCGGGTTTGGGAAGCGGGTCATTAAATGGCAATTTTGGACATTTGCTCTTCAAGTTTGATGATTCGCTTCTCCTGACTGCTGACCAGGTCCTTGAGGGATTTTATTTCTTTCAAGATCTCCTCCAGCTTGGCTTCAGATTTCTTTGGGAGACACAAAGGATAAGGACAAGACTTTTTAGCACATTTTTTAACGTTTCTATCACAATTCTGCTGCAAACTTCAGTGTCACAACAGTGCAGAAGACAACCTGTGAGACACTGTCTACAGTCTCGCACTGCCACCTGGCAGGACCTGGGTCTCTGAGGGTTAACATGTTTCACCAGCAGTGGAGCCAAGTGGGTTGTGATTACAGAGCAGAATGGCAGAGAGACATATGGGCTGGGCCCCAGGCGGGTGGCTGTGTTGTGGGTGAGGTGCGGCAGGACGCCCAGAGCTGCACCAGACCCCTCAGTTTGTAGAGTGGGTTGTAGAACCTCTGCAAACCACCTCACGAGCACAGCCAGCAATCAGCTCTGTTTCATCCACATACAATTTGTCTGTCTGACAACATCAGCTCTGGAGAGCCACAGACAAATAGACAAACCTGCAGAGGGGCCTTAATTTTTTGGTGGAGATTTGCAGGGTTGTTCTTGTTCTTAGTGAATATGAATAAACACTACAAAGTAAATAAAAACACGATATGTTCATTCAGAACCTATGAAGAAGGAAATTACTATGCAGTCAAGAGCATATTATTTATTCATCAAAAAAAGTTCCTTCAAACTTCATAACAATTTGCTCTACTTTTTTTTCTTTCATGAGATGGTAAAATTAGTTAAATTAAAGATGTTGTCTTTGGATCTTGCCTGTTGGCCAGTACATACATAGCATATCAAGACCTCGGCCTGTAGGAAAATTGTTCTTCTATTCTACAAATTCGAGTTCTTTGAAACAGTATATACTCACAATTGTTGGAGTTGGGGAGGCAGACTTGTTGGCAGGGCTCGAGTTCTCTGTGTTCTTGGTCACCTTGCTGTCCAAAATATTCTTTTTGACCACCTTGAATTCACGGTTCTTGCCCGGGACATAACCATTCTTGAGGGAGATGAGTATGGGGTCTCCATTCTTGCCGTCAAACCACTCCTCAGCCTCCA